CTGAACCTCACGTCATATTCAGGATCCACCAAACGGCTTTCCGGACGAGGAAATGCATCTCATTAGTTATTGCAATGTAACTCAACTGAAACCCCGAGCTGAAATGCGAGGCGTAAGCCGCCGTCTCATCTTTGTTATCCTTTTTTTTGTTTCTTCAGACCAACGCGTCGTTGTCCCCGAGGCCGCCCATAAATCGGCCTCTGCTGCCTTAATGAATGGTCGGTCTCGTCGTCGCAGGATCTGCGTCAGCTTTCCGTCTCGCGGCCCGTTTCAATGTTGCCCTGCAAACGCGGGGGACACGGAATCTGGGTGACATGTTTGAGTGTAAAGATGTGATGTGGATATGGACGAGCGTCGAGATGTTTATTGTTAACTCTATCTAGCATGAAGTCGTCGATATCACATTCTGGGGAGGCAGGTAGCTAATAACCAAACGAAGAATTGAGCAACAAGGGGTTTCACCGCCACGACTGGGATGTTCTGCTCTGTCGAGGAGTTACCCAATACGGATACCTCAAGTACCATGTACATGACCGACCCCTGCCAGCCCTGCAAATACACCTGGCTGACCCCCGTCTTACAACTTCGCGCTCGGTGTTGCTTGTTTCTCACCACCAACCCAACCGACATATTTTCTTTCTCCCCCATTTGTTGGCTGCCATACAGCCAGCCACGGCGTTGTTTCTGGCCGGCCGCCTTCACCACCCTCCTTTCCGCAAGGTGCCTCTTCTTTTCTTGAATTCCCATCTTTGTTTCATTAATAACTATTGTCGCCTAGCCGTGAGATCGGCCCTCGGTGATCTTCGTATCTCCTTCCTAAAAAATCTCATTTTAGCACATTTCACCTGAGGAAGCGTTCGACTTTGGTCCATATCGGTGCTTCATACAAACCACAAAATTCCATGCGGGTTTTGCTGGCCACCAAAATAAAATAAACTACCTCCTCACCATGCATCTCAACGCCCTTCTTCCGCTCGCTCTCCTCCCCCTTTCCACATCCGCCGAGCCCATTAGGGTACCATCGCAGAACAATGAAACTCGCCATCAGCGCCCGCGCCCGCCCCGACGCGCCGAGCGGTTATGCCCCGGCTCACGTAGATTGCCCCAAGGAGAAGCCCACGATCCGGCGTGCCGACACGCTCTCCAAAAGCGAGACTGACTGGCTAGCGAAACGACGCCCGCTCACCGTCGACTCCATGATCCAGTTCTTGGAGCGGGCTCAACATCGAGGGCTTCGACGCCGAGGCCTACATCAACCGGGTTCGCTTCGGATGTCAAGAACCTTCCTAACATTCGGCATCGCTGGTTTCGGGCGGCGGCTACCGCGCTCTTGAAGAATGGCGCCGGCTTTATCTCCGCCGCCGACATCCGCATCCTCGGCTTCTCCGGCAAAGGTGGGCTTTGCGGCCTCCTCCAGGCCAGCACCTATCTGTCTGGTCTATCCGGCGGCGGATGGCTGGTCAGCAGTATCTATGCTAACAACTTCACCACCGTCGAGACCCTGCGGAAGGGGAGGGAGGACAGCAGCATCTGGCGGTTCGACAACTCCATCTTCACGGGGCCCGACCTGTCCGGCATCTTCGACACCCCGCGGTACTGGGCCAAGGTCGCCAGCCAGGTGAGCGACAAGGACGATGCCGGCTTCGAGACGTCCATCACCGACTACTGGGGCCGGGCGCTGGCCTGGCAGCTGATCGACGCGCCCGAGGGCGGGCCGTCGTACACCTTCTCCAGCATCGCCGACGACGAGGAGTTCTCCAACGCGCGCGCGCCCTTCCCCATCCTGGTGGCCGACGGCCGGGCGCCCGGCGAGAAGATCATCTCGCTCAACGCGACCGTGTACGAGTTCAACCCGTACGAGATGGGCTCCTGGGACCCGACCACCTTCGGCTTCGCGCCCATGCGCTATCTCGCCTCCAACTTCTCCAACGGCGTCGTCCCGCGCGACGGCAAGTGCGTGCGCGGCTTCGACTCGCTCAGCTACATCTTCGGCACCAGCAGCTCGCTCTTCAACGCCTTCCTCCTGCAGAACATCTCCAGCGTCGAGGGCGTGCCCGACTTCCTCATCGACGCCGGCACCTCGGTCCTCAAGGGCCTCGACGCCGACAAGAACGACATCGCCCAGTACGTGCCCAACCCCTTCCTCGGCTGGAACAAGGGCAGCAACCCGACAGCGGGCACCTCGGAGCTCGACCTCGTCGACGGCGGCATGGACCTGCAAAACATCCCGCTCCACCCCTTAATCCAGCCCTTCCGCTCCGTCGACGTCATCTTCGCGGTCGACTCCTCCGCCGACACGACCTACGCCTGGCCCAACGGCACGGCCATGCGCGCCAGCTTCGACCGCGTCCGCGGCAGCATCGCCAACGGCACGCTGTTCCCGGCCGTCCCGGACGACAAGACCTTCCTGGCGCAGGGGCTCAACAGCCGGCCGACCTTCTTCGGCTGCGACGCCGCCAACTTCACCCTCGCGCAGGGCCAGACCGCGCCGCCGCTGATCGTCTACGTGCCCAACGCGCCCTACACGGCCATGTCCAACGTGACGACCTTCACGCCCTCCTACACGCTGCCCGAGCGCGACGGCATCATTCGCAACGGGTACGACGCGGCGACCCAGGGCAACGGCACGCTGGACACTCGGTGGCAGACCTGCGTGGCCTGCGCCGTCATGAGCCGCAGCTGGACGCGCACCGAGACCGCCGTGCCTGCGGTTTGCAATTCTTGCTTTGAGCGTTACTGCTGGAACGGGACGCTGGCTGATGCTAGTGTTGCTATTGCTTCGGGTGGCGGTGGCGCCGAGTACGAGCCTACCTTCAAGATTGGGAATGGGAACTCGGATGAGTCGGCCGGTGTGAAGGTCGTGGGGAGGTCGGCCTGGGCTTTGATGGTTGGCTTGGTTGCCGCGGTGGCTGTTTTGTAAGGGAGGAAGGGGTAGATATTTCAGGGGGCGGCTTCTTTCTCTTCTTGGCTGTTGCATGTACTACTAGTCTTTTGTAGGGTTGAACACGGGGTAGAATGATACCATTAGATGCGGGTTGAATTTAGGGGTTTTCTAATCTTCCTTCCGTCGTCCTGTCTGTCCACCTTTTAGAAGGGATGACCCGAATCAGTACGACGGCTTAAATGGTGACTAAAATGGGTTGAGTTCTCCTTGTGTCGCACATCAACCACCCTTTCTTTCCCACACCGCAAAGCACGGGCGATGGCCTTGTTTCTGCCTCTGGCCACAACGGGCTCATCAGATACAATCTTCCTCGACACTCGGCTCCATTCCCCATTCCACTTCCAAGGAAACCCTAACAGCGGCTCAGATCCCAAGATAGATCTCTCTCTTCGATGACTCTATTAGATGCAGGGATGCGTCGTCATAAGGTCGTTGAAATGAGGACACCAACTGAGATCGCGCAACGCCGAAATAGATCATGCGGGAAAGAAACACGACTCGTCAGAGTCTGGAGAAACGTTACAGGCAGTCTGTGTCCGTCGGCCTAGCGGCGAGGCACTCGTCAATGTGCCAGTTTGTACCAATTCCTAGCAGTAACGCCGCGCGAGGTGGTCGCTCGGTCGCTGCTGTCATCGAAACGTATCGCGATAGGGGCCATCCACCCTCGCTTCTGTGATACCCCCGGGCATCATGCGGAGCCATTCAGCCCAGCTGTCCATGTTAAACGGTTCATCCGTCAGTCGGAACGTTATGCTAATTTGCGCCCCGCTCGACAGAGCACGAGGGACTTCGCCATGCTGCAGCGGGGCTAACAGTATCGACGGCAGGGTTTTCGTGCCGGAAAGCTGCATGCTTAGCGGCGTGGGGAACCTCACAACGGCCTCCTTCTCTGGGTTTTGTTCCCGTATTATCTCAGGGTACAGCGAGAGCAGCCTGGCGTGGAGTTCGGCGGAAGAAAACGGTTCTCTATACGGTTGAGCAGCCCTCTTTCGCAGCTGGTCTGTCACCGCGCGAGTGAAAGCGCTTCTACCAAGATGTTCGACGTGATCCTCGCCCGCGGACGCCGCGATTAACTCCAACATGCCTGACCGCCGCGACGCTGTGTGCGTGGGGTAATACGCACAATCCATGAGGAGGAGAGCGTCTGAGCGGGCATTTTCGAAAAACGACTGAATGCCGCTCCATCGGATGGCCGAGGCAGGGTCGGCGTGCTTGGAGCTGGTACCTAAGAGTGAGCCTGCGCACGGACAAGAATATGTTGCGAATTAGATCACGGTACCAACCTTGCGAGAAGCATCTCCCGGTCACTGTCCAAGTAGCTATACCCAGTATAATGAAATATCCTTAGACAGTCGCGCTGGTTGTGATCCGCGATGAAGTCTGCGACCGCCTGGGATAACCACAGCCAGGGAGTCCTCGACTCCTCCGTCGATGTCGGAATCGTCTTAATGTGAACGGTGTAGTGATAGTTTTCGTGGAATGTCTTAGCTAGATCGTTGAGAGCACTCTGAGCCCCGGCGTCCTCGTCGTCCTGCCACCGGACCATGAGAACCGAGACGTTGGCATAACGACTGCGGAAAGGGCTTTCTAGAATCCGATCGGCACTTCCTTGGAGGTCCGCTCTAAAGTTATCGAATCCGGGGAGGGGCGGCAGGTTGACGTGCTTGTCAGCGCGTGGGCCAGACGGAAGAGGGGTCCTGATGCGTGACTCGTTTAAGGACGGCTGGGGGTGCTGTTGTGTGGGGGAAGTATCTATGTCCATGTCCCGGGAGTCCTGAGAAAACGACGCTCTCGTGTTCAGCGGCGCAGGACTGATTTGAGGCCCTATTATTGGAGAGAGCCCTTGGGAGGAGGCCTCATGTGACCTGAACCTCTTCGCAGCGTCCTCCCATGTCATATTATGGTGGTTAGGGTGGCACTGGATGATCTGTGAGCCGGAAGACCGGGGCAGGATTGATTTAAGAGCGTGGACTCACTGCAACTCTCCTCCGGCGACAGTCAGAGCAAGCACCCATCTTCCTGATTAAGTGGGCGCGCTCGCGCTGAACGGCCGTCAGGGGGCCGGTCCGACGCCGACTTGCACGGCGCTGTGGGGTCACATTACTTCCGTCCCTGGCAGAAAAGACAGCTTGGGCGGCGAAGGTAGTAGGCGACGAAGCTACGCTGCTGTACGGAGTCCCAGGTGTATCTTCCGTACCGAGCGTTGTCGAGTTCCCGAGGGTTGCTGAAGTCGATATCGACGAGCTAGTGTCTTTCCGCACCGGCGGAGAGGCGCCGTCCGGTTGTAGGACATTGTCCTCGGAGATGGCGTTCAGAGTCAGATGGGCGTCGGGGCTTGCAGGCAAGCGTGACACAGGGCGCAAATCGTCACTAGTGTTGGGCGAGGCCTCAGTCAAGCTGGAAGCCGGATGCATACTGAGACCGCGGGTTGTTCAGAGTTCCAGACAAATACAAAATCCCATAGTCGACCGCGAAGTCAGCTAGTCGAAAGTCGATTTTGGCCGCTTCCCTATCTGATGGCTTCGGCTAGACACTCGATGCCCCAACGTGCCGGCTCGGTCCGCACCTGCACCTGTTGGGGTTGTAATTGTAAACTGTGCGGGATATCCACAACTCCAAAATAGACGCGGGCGAATGCGTTCCCCTGAAACGCCAGACCTGCTGGCAAGCGATGCTTTGGTGACAACAAAACAAGTATTATCCAGGGGCGAGGAGGAGCCTTGGAAAGTGCAGTTGGGCAAGCCCACACACCAACGAGATAGAAATGGAGGGTTCGAGGCCGACAATGTGGTACGCCGGAAGCTGTTCCGCAGCGCTTTTGACCGAAGGGCCGAGTCCGGAGGAACGTAGAATAGCGGAGCGAGGGTAGCCGTGGGCAGGTCGGGTGGATGGGGGATAAAGAGGGCCCGGGAAAGTACAGAAACAATGCTGATACAAGGCAGTAATTTGATAATGCAGCCGTCACGACGCCCCGTCGAAATCATGTACGGACAAGGTACAGGATATTAGGTAGGTTAGGTGTAGGTGACCGAGGGGAATGATGGAGGACTCAAAAACTTGAACTAAAGATTGAACAAGGTCGCTCAGAAGAACCAATGGCTCCTTCATCCAAAGAAAGCAGGAGGTCAGGGTTTGCTTCTTATTAGCGCGGCAGGCGGGTGAAGTCAGAAAAGAGCGTCTGAGACGGGAGCAGCAGGTGCGGGCGGCAAGGCATTGATAGGTGAGGCCGGCCGTCGTTTTTCTGTAACCCCGGGCCCGACTCCGGCACGGTTTCTTTTTCTTCCTTTTCCAGAATTAATTTCACCCGCGGTATGCTCCCTCGCTTGTTGGAGGCTCAATTCAGGCAAGCCTAAAGTCCGTTTGTCCCTGGGAAGTGCCCAACGAGAACCACGTCCACGTGGACCCTGCCATCGCTCACCGCAGACCGACCCAGTGGAGTGCATCTTTCTTCCCGAACCCCCTCTCTGCCCACTCTCCCCCGTGCTGCCGTAGACCCGCCTCGATCTCCCCATCCGCCTTTGGCTCGAGACTAGCTGCAGCAGCAGGTACATGGCGGTCCTTTGCAGCAACGTCAATCCTTTGTAACTGTGCAGCTTTTCATTGGGTTCGGCTTGCCGCCCTCCATCAGAAAGCCTGCAACACCAAATGCTGATCGCGGTATTTTACACTCACTTACCGTGCAGGGAACTCCCGTGGGCGCCCAACACTTTGTCTCAGAAACCCCCACGCTCCCATTGAACCCCCTCGGTGACCCTTGCACACAGCATGGACCCTAACCCCCGTACACCGAGGTCATGTGATGAAGCCTGGATTTCGAGGGCAGATTACAGCTTTACGTAACGTGAACACACCTTGCAAGCACCAATCGGGGACGGTGACATGGGCCCAATACCGAGCTGGCCGGCCCTGTCACCAGCCTCACCGCGATTTTGCTACCCGATTGGCTCTCCGAGGAGCTAGTCACCGGCTCCACAAGCCGCCTTCCACCACCGGGCAGGCCGGGGGCTCTTCGGTCTGGCGTGTGTGCCAGCGCGTTGATGAAGTTCCCGAACGCGGAATTGGGAACGCCACAGTTCGCTCGTCACCGTGCCGAATCTGAGCCGTTTGATTGCACACCGATCCCGTCCAAGAAGGTAGTTTTCAGGCCCATAGCCCACCGCCGAGGCTCAAAGCAGACAGCCCGAGAGGAGAGGAAAGGGAGGGAAGGGAAGGAGAGGAGACAATCGCCTCGGATAGGTTGTCCGGAATGGAGGTTGCGCTGTTGACGGGGGGTTCGGCGCGGGATGATCTGGGGGAAACCACCGTCCCGAGGTGAGGCGTGTGCGGACTGAGGCCAACCCGGGGCCCCTTTTTCTCGATATCGTCGACTGCCCGCGTGTTCGGCAAGACCGAATTGGTCCATTCCTGCTCGCTTTGGGGTTGTGCCGATTTGCAGCCACTCATCGGGAGAGTTCACCGACACGTCGCTCCTCGGTAGCCGCTTCCAAAACAAACTCCCTGCAGCGCCGCAAGCCTCGCACTGGCAGAGTTCGCGATTTTGCAGCTCACCCCACCATCATGCGCGAACCTCAAATCGTGGGGCAGTAGAAAGAGAGGATGGAATTGGAATCTTGGGTTCTGTCTGCCCTCTCCCCCCCATCCTCGTCCTATCAGGAACTGGGGGGTGGGTTTGACACCCCCTCCCGAACCATCGGAGGTCCCGCCTATCTCGCGGTCTCGGGCAGGAACGATGGCCAGTTGGAAGGAGCTCACCACAATGGAATTGGGGGAAGGGACCGGGCTCGCAGACTCGCAGCCTCAACTGCACTTTCCCCACGCACTCGTCCTCCCCTTAGTGGCTCCTTTCATCTCCTCGTTTTATGCATTGCTACCTGTGCAACCAAACTCTTCTCACAGCGGCCCAATCAGCCTGGCGTGCAACGTCTGGGCTCTGGTTATTGCTTCTTGCCTCCCCACTCCGATCACTCTCGCCCTTCAATATCTGGCTGACATAGCTCTCCAGCCGATCTTAACCAGACACACGACACGCTCCGGTGCGGCCCGCGGGGAGCGTGATGGAGCCACAGAAACAAAGCATGTCAACCCGCCGTTACATTGTGTTTCCCCAGGCTCACCCCGCTGTTCCCCGGTGAACACGCAACCTCGGCCATGTCGCAATCGGCTGGTATGCCCAATGGTTGACAACATTCGGCAGCGAGGACCCAAAACAGCACTTTCAGCCAAGCGCCTCCTCCTTGGTGGTCACTGTGATCACTGTGATCAAGGTCAAGCAGACCGGCCAAGGGCCAAGCCCATGCAGGACGGCTGGGTGGGAGACATTGCCAACGAAGCTCCTGAGGTTTGAGGCACAATGAAGGCCCGCATCTTCATCATTCGTTCCCGCACGTCACGATAAGTTGTTGCAGCATGCGCGCAACTCCTGCATCGACAAACGGAGGGGACCCCCCAGGCCTTATTGGGTCCGTCGGGCAGAGAGTCCCATACCCCTCTAACACCAACCACTGAGGCTCTGTCTTGAACACACTGGACGCTTCGGGACGCAGGAGAGCACGAAACTCCGGACTCGAGTGGACCCGACGAACTCGAGGGCGCGTCGCAACTTATTTGTCGATAAACATATGTGTCATATTCATCATATCACGGCAGATTGCGGTGTTTTCTCTGCAAATTGACGAGCTACAGTTCCGTTTGAGCCGCCATCAGGGTCACCCTCGGGGTTATCCATTTTCCCTCTTGTCTGCTTCCAGACTCCAACCCCTTTCTCCAGGCCGAAACCTGCAGGTGATGGTTTTCAGCTTGCGAGACGTCTCAGCCCTCTCGCCATTGTCAAGGAACATGTTTTCTCGTTCCTCCAAGTATGCTTTTTCATCGGCAGGAATGGCTAGCAGCGCCGCTGTGGACGATCCTTTGAGGATCTTCACATTCCAGACAGCCGTCTGGATCATGATCCCCAATAGGAAACTGACCGAAAGTGCCACCTGAATGGCCAGGAACGCCAGCCAAGCCCACTGGATGTGAACGTAACTCTCGGTTGCAAAAACGGTGCCGCTCGCCGAGGCTGAACTCATGGCACGCATCCTGGAGATACCTTCGAGTTAGCATTGCGCCCGTCTCTACCTGGTACCTTCCGACTGCCTGGAGCTCTTCAAAAGTCGACATAATACTGGGCAAGCCAACCACTACATGGAATACGCTGCCCGTTGCATCGCCACCAGCACAAGGGGGATGGGACGATGGGACGCAAACAGGAGTTGGGGGTCGAGAGGAATCGTGACAGGGCAAACAGAAAAAGGATCAGGGGGGCCGTAAGCCTAAGAAAATCCACTTGCATGTTAGTCAAGCTGGCGGCCACGTTGGCGGTCAGGTTCCCAACCACAGACCGCATCCCGTCGTCGTCAGACGGCTCGCGCTGGAACATGGCGAGCCCGAGGGCCTCGCTGGTGGCTGTCTCGCCCCCGATCGACTTCCCATACCAATGGGAATACACGCCGGAAAAGACCGACAGGATATAGCCGTTCAAGAACCTCACATCCTCTCTCTTTACTGAGTACACGCCGTCAGTGTTGGCCGAGCGAAGAAACACTCGCGGTGGCGAGGACGATTCGTGGCGGACATTGACGATCGAATTGCCCGACCCGTCTTCCGCGGCGAGCGTGGACGAGTGTACTACCCTACTTGTTGCCACGCCGCGGGAGGTCGACGCCTCGTACGTATTGACACAGAAGTGTAGCAGGACCTCGGCGGCACGGAACACAGCCCTTGACGAGTCGGACCCGGTGTTTGAGGTCTCGTTGGTATAAACAAGGAAGAAGTTTGCGATGGCGCTCGACACCCTGCCGTCCTGGTCTGAGAAGGCTAAACTTGTCCGTGCGGGGAGGAAGCCCTCTTGGTCCGTCACCTCGGTGTCACTTTCGGTATTTACCGAGTCATGCGGCCAAGAGATGTTTAGGTTGCAGCTGGCGGTGCTGCCGACCAAATACAAGCCGTTGGGGAGTCGAGCAGCGCGAACGAGCTCATCGTTGGCGTCTCCCAGCGACACGCCTAGGTTCCGTGGCCTGGACTGGTTGGAAATGGTGAGCCTGTCGGATATGTCGGCCACAGCGGCGCAAACGGCCAGCGAGCTGAAATTCTGCCATTGGCAGTTACCAGAGCTGCATAAGGGTTGCAGGGGCGGTACCTCCACGTCGACTGCATGATAGATGCCTGACTGGATCGCTTGCCTCTCTCGGGTGTCGAGGTACTCTGGTAGGTTGGCGCCAGGTCAGCACCCACGGTTTGAGAGGGCTGAGACAGTGGTCAACTCACCGTACGGCATTGGGTGGGAGTATGATTCGCTCCTGGGGATGGCTGCCGTGCCGCTCCCTGCCTCAAAATCTCGAGTGGGATAGGTGATGGCGCCCTGCGTGAGCGGGGAGAGCAGAAAACCACTCATGAGTGCTACGGCTGCAGACATTCCGAGTGCCCTTTGAACAATCGATCAGCACATGGAACCAACCCAAGTGACGCAAACAACCCGAGGGGCGAGGGTATTCATACCTTCCTTTTCGTTTGCAAAGCAGCACGGCGCTGCTCACAGGCCCACGCCGCGCATTCTCAAAGGTTTGGAAATCAGCCAACGGCTTCTCGCTCCGAGCAAACGAGTTCCACTTCAGCTGCGAGAGCCCTTCGGTCAGGGGCACGGCCAACGCAACCTGGCATATCGCCGTCAGAAAAGCCACTACCGTGTTCAACGAAACGGTCAATGGCCAGTCCGTCAAGCCCCGCCCGTCAAAGGTCTTTAGCACCGCAACAATAGCCGCTAGGCACACAATCCCAAGCAGGCAGCCCGATATCTCGGGCAGCCAACGCGCACAATACCGCAAGAATCCACCACACCCCCTCCTCCCATCATCCCCTCGCGCGGGGGTCGGCCGACCAGTCCCCTCCCCATCGACGACCGTCCACAGGCCCATTACCTTTCCTCCGCCGCTTGCGCTGCCGGTCCCATGACCGCCTGGCCTTCGGCCTATTAAGACCTGTGGGAATGGGGGGGAAGGTGTCGGCATGGGGCACGCCGACATCGATCTGCGATTCGTCCTTGGGCTCGGACTCGGTCACCGGGAAGTAGTCGATGTCTTCGTAATGCATAAACGGAGCGCCTCCACTAGTTTGCGCGGCGGAAGGGGCGGTGCGGGTCGTTCCCGGTGGGGGGTTGGTGGGTATTATTAAGGGGGGTTAAGTGAGTCGGGGTTTGTTGTTGGGTCTGTGTTTGCTGCCATGGTGTGGATGTAGCGGCGGATGCCGCGGGTGTGATTTCGGTATATGTATTGGCGACTCGGTGGCCCGGGATCAGGACGGCTGGGACGGGCAGCGAAGGCGGGGCATTAGAAGCAGTAGCAGTAGCGGCCGAAGTCGGGGCGGAAGTTCGCACCGGCGCTGGGCCATAGGACGTCCGGACGGGCCATCGGCCTGACTCGGCCTCGCGGGCGCGCGCCTCGTTGAGTTCCTGCATGTCCCGGCTGCCGCGCCAGTGCGGTGGCGCAGGGTAGGGGATGTCGGCCTCGTCAGGGCTCGTTTGCCAGAGCGCAGGTGCTACTCCCATCACGCCGGCGGAGCGGGAGTTGTCATCGACGGTTCCGGTTGCCGTCGTCGTGTGCGGAACCCCCTGCGCCTGTACATGCGATGGTACCTGACCGTGCCACAACCCGGCTTGTCCCCCCTCCACCCCCTGGCCCTGGCCCTGGCCGTCCCAGCCGGCAGTCCCATGCGTTTGCGCCCCGTCTCGGTAGTGCCGCGGCGGCGACGGTGATAGCCCTGCCGGCCCCCGGTAACCGTACGCCTCCTCGTCGTCGTCTTCGTGAATCGAGCTTGCCGGCGACACGGTGAATTTGCCTCCGCTGTTGATCGTGCCCATGCGCTGCAGCATTCGGCTTCGTGTGCTGCTGCTGACCGAGTGTGTTGTACGGGGCGGGTAGCTGAGTTCCGGTGAGACTTGCGCCGGGTCCACGGGGACGGCAGCCGGGCCGCCTACCGGTCTCCGCGCGGGGATGGTGCTTGGTTGCGCGTATATGCTGTTCGGGTAGCCATTTGGAGGGCGGTAGTACCGGTCACCGGGTCCAGGTCCAGGTCCAGGTCCGGACATGGCGGGCAGTGGGTGCTGGCGCGAGGAGGAGGATACACATGCCCGCCGATCGTTAGGAGGCGCTCCGCGACGGAGGAGCCGAGTAGACGAAAGCCAAGTGGGTTTGACTACATGTATAACGCGACTGTCCTAGTCCGGGCACAGCCAGCAGCCCGTTCCGCCCACCTGATTATGACGACGAGGTAAGGCGAAGACTCTGCCCTTTAGCGCGAGAGCAGAATCAAAATTCAGAGTGAAATGGACGAGGAGAATAAAAAAAAAAACCTCGACAAGGTATAAAGCAAGCAAGCTAACGTCGAGGAGCACAGTAAGCAAAGCTCCAGTTCGACGACGACCCTTGACCCTGCCCGGGTTATTAGCTCTTCTGGGCAGCGAAGTGTGGAGGTCGTCCGTCCAGCCTGTACAGTACAAGGAGTTATGTGCATATCCTTCGAGACCCAGTTTGCCCCCCGGAGAGCGATCCCATCACATCGGCCCGCGGGGAAGCGTGTGCGGCTGTGTCTCCCACTGCTGCTTGATGCTCAAGGGGAGGGGAAGGCGTGCCGAGGCCCGGTAGCCGTGACCCGTTTTGGGTACTGTGACCGGTTTCTCCCTCCTTTGCCTTGCACCGTTGTTGGTTTTCTCGGACCCCAACTCCAGCTTCACTGTGGGCAAAAAGCGACCTGCCAGTTTCGGGAAAGACACACTTTGGGAAATGCTGCCGGGTGAAATATATCTCGCACGCGCCCAGGGCCGAGGGTTGGCCGCGCTGACGGCGTGCATATGCTACGCGCGAGCAATACTTCGTTCGTTCCAACGGTACGATTAACCCGCCGACATTGACCATCCTTACATAGTACATCTTTTCTTCAATCCAAGCTCCAAACCAACTCTGTCGGAGCACGTTTCCGCCCTGTGGCTTGCCAGCCGGGACACCACATCCACGCATCTGCAGCTACCCTAGTTTTGGCGTTGGCGGCGCTCTCCACGACACTAGCTCTGTAACTAGCCTCCTAGCGCCCAGTTCAACTTCTCTACCCCACCACACCACACCACACCCCCAGAGAGAGAAAAAGAAGCCGCAGAATCAGAGAACGGGGTCGAATGGCGGCGCAGCAAATGCTGCTGCCTGGGGGGGGGTGGTGTGCGGGTGGGTTGCGGTTGTATCACGGACCGGGATGAAACATGGCGCGGGGAGTGGGGTTTTTCAGAAGAGCTGCTGCACGGGCAAGGGCAAGGGTGCAAAAGGGTCAGATCGATCTTTGCTGGGCGTCTGTGAGGTGTTGTGTGTGTGTGGTGTTGGTTTTGCGCAACGGGAGGGCTGCTTCATCATTGGCTTGTGTAACTGACTGACGAACAGACGAACGAAACGAATGCTTGGATGAAGCGAGCGAGCCAGCGGATGGTTCGGTCGGTTCGTTTGTCTTGTTTGTGTGTTTTGTGTTTTCGTTCCGTTTCGTCATTGATGACTTCGGACGGATCAAACCCCTCATCTCATCTCGTGTGTCCCATCCCATCTCGGGCATTTGCAGCGCTGGGCTATGCACATCTGGCGGGGAGGCGTCTTTTTGTCCGACGGCGGGATCATCCCGTGTCAGCTTTGGCACCACCAACTCCGCATGGAGGGACGCAGAACTTGCGAGTGGGAAGAAATGGGCAGTTGATCAGGGTATTCGAAGACTATCGAGTTGTTAGTGCCTTGGAGTCGCTATATATATAACTAGACAGGAGCTATTTTGAGTTCTGTTATTTTTATGTTACTGGGATTCGCGCGTCAATTGCTTGGTTTTGGTCTGTCAGAAGAGGCGAAACATCCCGCCGCTTTTCGGTCTCGGCCCCCGACTCCGATGTGTGACGTACCCGAGATGCACTACCGCTTCGAGTTTGGTCATGTCGAAAATGAACACTCATAACATGTTGTGTCCAGGCAATTAATTGTCTATTGTTATTCGCTTAAATGTTCCGATAATCATGTTGGTACACAGCCATCCCGAGCCACGGCATGGAAACCCCAGTTTTGATCCAGATACCCTAGAACTCCGTTGTTGCCGACCCCCGGATTGATACCGAGCTGCCCAATCCAAGACGAACCCTTAGCCCCTGAAGCCCCTGAAGCCCCTTTTGAGCCGCCAACAGAATGCTCGCCATGCAACGATGTAGGTTGTACAAAAATATAAAAAAGTGCCGTATGCCCAAGCCGTCAGCTATTAGTGCTCGTGGTCATGCCCATGCCCCTCGGCAGAGTGACTGCTCTCCGGCCGGGAGTGGCTCGGGGAGCAGCAACCGCGGCCGACACAATCATCCACACAGTCCAGCAGACACGCGCCCTCCACGACACTACCACACCTCGACGCTTGCGCAGCGGTCGAGGGGAGTGCCGGCGACGAGGCCGACGCCCCGTCCATGCGCATGGCAGAGTCCAGTTCCCGGGCGTGGGCATGGGCGCGGTCGAGGCAGAATTCGGGCTGGATGGTGGCGCTGTGGATGCCGTACGCGTGCAGACATTTGCGCGCCATCATGGACAGCTCCATGTACTTCTCGCCACCGGCCTCCGAGATGGGGAAAGCGACCTGAATATGCATCGAAGCGACTACCTTGGTGTCAGAGAGCTGCCAGATGTGCACGTGGTGGCAGCTGATGACGCCCGGCAACGCCTGGATGTCCTCGCGCACGTCGTTCAGGTCGATATGCTCGGGCGTGGCCTGCAACAGGATCTTAGACGCTGCGATGGTGAGCGGGATGCAGGAGCGCAGAATGATGAGCGTGATAAAGAGGGACACCGCCGGGTCGGCGTAGTAGCGACCCGGCCAGTCCGTCAGCCAGATGACGAGGGCTGTGATGATGACCCCGACGTTGCCGAGCGCGTCGCCCAAGACGTGCAGCACCATGGCGTTCATACCCATGTCGCCGTGGCTGTGGCCGTGTTTCTTTCCCGATTTCTTCGGTTTATTATGGTTATGTGAGTGGTGAATTTCCGACCCCCGCCGTGCCCGTCTCGCAGGCGATTTTGGGCTGCGGCTAGACTGTGCCGCGCCGTTGTTCTTAAGCAAGGGAGTATCCTCCCGTAGATCCGTATCCTCCACGACAGCCGTCTCGTCTTCACTGTTGCTGTCACCGCTCGATTCGTCGTCTGGTTGGGGGCGGCTGGCAGCGATGATCTCCTGCCGGAAACTGGCGGGATGGATACTCATGTCGCCGATGCTCGTGAGGCGGCCGTGCCGTGTGGCTCCCTGTGCCCGCCGTTCTCTACGGCTGATCCCCTCGGATCCCGACGCTCCGTATCTCGCGACAGCCGCCTCGGGGAAAATGTCGGGTCCGCCCTCGTCGTCGGCGAAATCCTGGTCGGCTAAGTTACCAGCGCGTCCTTCTTCGGCAGCCCGGTCAGCGCCATGGGCATGCGAGTGCCCGTGATCATGACTATGCTCCTCCTCGCCGTGCCCGTGTTCCCCCGGTCCATGTGAATGCCCATGCCCCCCTAATATAACGAACCCGGCCAGGTTTGATGCGAGCCCCAAGCAGCCGACAACCAGGATGAGCTGTGCGTTCCCGATTTCTGGAGGATCGATGAATCGGGTGAGTGCTTCGAGCACGATGGATACGCACAGGGCGATGAGGAATACGGCGTTGAAGAAGGCACCCAAAATCTCGGCGCGGAGCCACTGCAGCGGTCGACGTCAGCAACGGTTCCAATACGATACAGTCTGCGAATTTTGGGAGACACTCACGCCATAAGAAAACTTGTCTGTGGTGGCCTTGCTCGCCACAGAGACCGCCCAAAGGCCAACGAGTAAGGAAATGATATCGTTAAGCTACGGAGAAAGGTCAGTACGGGTAAACATCATTTGGCCAAGGGCAAAGGATCCCACCATGTGGAAGGCATCTGCCATCAATGCCAGGGAATGCACGGCAAACCCAACGCCCAGCTCGAGCAAGAAAAAGACGGTGTCGAGGACGAGCATCACCTTGATGCGCGTCGATTTAGACCACCCCATGCTGGGCGAACAAGAGCGGCTCTCTTTCTGGTCCTATTCCGGGGATTCAAGTCGAGAGTCAAAAGTACAGCCGGTGCGGCGATCCTCTCGGTGACAATGCGTCGGTTTTGAATGGCGGGCAGTACGAATAATGTTGGTGGATGTGTTTGCGGCGCGGCTTGCGGCCGTTGGAGCCTCCGATTTTAGGAATCAGGAGGTCGCCCCCCTCGTGATCCCGCCTTGGCAGATGGGCGCAGGCGCGCAAGCAGTTGATCGCAAGCGAGACAGCTGACTGGTGTTTTGCAGGATCCGCCCCTGTCTTGACCTGTGCTTGGAGCAAAAGTGACGAGAACAAGCAGATTGGCATCCACAAAATTTGAGAAACACGGCTGTCAACCAAACAACGTCAGATTATAGATCTGTTCTAACGCGGGAATTGATCAAGACAAGACAGCCGGGTTATTTGAAAGCATGACATGGCATTGCCGGTTGGGAATTCCAGGTTCGATCAAGTTCGTTTCCAGGCACATTTTGCACGACACGGAAGCGGCAAGTCCCGGTTCCGGTGACATCAGCTGCGTCGGGCCTCTCGACCAGTCGTAGGGCCATGTCCAGTCCCGCATCGTCCCATGAGATCCATGACCCCACAAGTTTGCATACGGCAAACGTGCCGAGCTTGTCGAACGGTCAAACCCTCCAACACCGCCAACTTAAATCCGTCGGACACTCGGGGGCCACTCATCACCATGTGGCCTTTGGCCGCCGATACCGGGTCCGAAGGTGCCAGCGGCCACCTAGTTATATCCCAAGGCATTATGCTTATGTGTACAAATATTACGTTTATGTGTACATACTGCGGCAGGGTTCATAGAGGCTGATTAGTCTCGGCCTGCCGTTGTTACATATTCAAGACCTCTCAGGTTCCAGCCAGTCGCCGCGATTGCCGCGTTTTACATGCCTAAATAACTAAGTAACACTGACCGATACAGCAGGAAAGATGGCACTTCGATCGTTTTTTGGTCCTACCTTTGCTTGAGCGGTGAGCACTCGAGTCACGTCGCACAACTTCCCCACCGTCACGGAACTTTAAGATAGGGTGTAGAGAGTGGTCATGTGAACAACAAATTGCCATCACACTTCTCTTCCGAAGATGAAAAGACAGATGACCCGACGCCATGGTTCACTGTTCCTTATTTCCAAAAAAGTGTCTTAACCCGCAAGGCATCAACATAAAACTTCTGGCACACGTAAATCCTCGAATAGTCGTCTTGAGTCGGGTCATTAATGATGCAGGCGATATCAATGTGTCGGCAACCTGAAAGCACGTTGGAGCCGACTGTTAGCTGGCTTCGCTAATCAACCATCGTATCTCGCATTAGGTAGGCAGGTAGTGGTTATGCGGCTCGACTCTTGCTTGTTGTCAATTTAATCGCTGCATGTAACTCATTCGAATTCCGGTCGCAAAATCAAATAATGAGAGCGCGAGGACCCAACTAACAAGAACAAGTGGACAAAAAACAAACCTTGGACTTGTTCTTCTCTCTGCCAAATCGCCCGGGCATTGCTTTCAGACAGGGTCTCGATGTTTATCAACCCTTGGTTCTCTATCGGGCCTCGCAGGCGTATATCTGACGTTAGCGGATGTAACAAGGACACAATAACGGACGTTAAACCCTAATAGAAAGATTGGCCCGGTTGTAAGTACTGAAGCTCAAAGGCTGGATATAAGGTCAGCGCGCCACCTAGGTAGGTCGGTAATTATGTATTTGCATTATTACTATGCTGGATGGCTCGAATAACACCGTGACAGTCAACTTATGTCGACCTCTGCTTACGGATTGACAACTTCTTGTCTTCTGGCAGATTCGGTGACAGAGATTCAAGATTGGTGGTTTAGTGTCGTCCTGCTCCGGTTTGGTTTCACGTCACAGACGGCTCAAGGTAGTAAGAAGACTCCTAGAGGGTGAAAAAACTCGCGAGTGTACCTACCTGGTAGTTTTTCGATATTGGCGGCGTCCTTGTTAACCGATGGGCTTGAGTTTTAACGGGATACAATACATCGCGATCGAACCTGTTTTTTTCAACTCGAATCTGCCCTCAAGCTTCACATTTAGAGCATAGGAAGTAAAACGACAGGGAGCTCGGATCGATGCTCCGTTGTAGTTAGTCTAGTCTCCACTTCTATTCCTTCTGTCTCGCCGATTTGTAAGCCAACCGCCGGCGACTTACACTGTTACGGAGTTCAATTTGGCCGGACACCCCGTCAACACTAGAAAACGGTCCAGCAGGCGTCTCAGCCGCGTTTAGCGTGCAATGCGCTTTCAAATCATTTCAAAGCGCTTAGAAATGTGACGATACTCGGTGACTTTCTACGCAAGGATGCGAACGACGCTCCGTGACGAAACGGAGCTTCTTAGTTGTAGTGACGACAACAAGTGGAGTTGAAGGACCGCTATATAGATATGGACGACTGCCAGGCGATATTCCATCTCTTGTCTCATCATTAACATCCAGCCAACTACTCTTAGAACAAGCCTCATCCCCGCCTTAGTCCTTTCGACAATACGAACCAAGCCATCATGTCGTCCCTCAGCAATCTCAAGCCCATCAAGATCTGGGGCAAGGGAGGACCCAACCCGCCCAAAGTTGCCATGATCGCTTCTGAGCTGGGAATCCCACACGAGATCGTGGATATCCAATTCAGCGAGCTCAAGAAGCCCGACTTCCTCGCCATCAACCCTAACGGCCGCATGCCTGCCATCCAAGACCCCAACACCGACCTCACGCTTTGGGAGTCGGGCGCCATCGTGGAGTACCTGATCGAGAAGTACGACACGGAGCGCAAGCTCAGCTTCGAGCCGGGCACCAACGAGGCCTACCACGCCAAGCAGTGGCTCTTCTTCCCAGACCACGGGCCAGGGCCCCTACTACGGACAGGCCGTCTGGTTCACCAAGTACCACCCGGAGAAGGTGCAGAGCGCGGTCGACCGGTACGTCAAGGAAATCATACGGGTGACGACGGTGCTGGAGGGCGAGCTCGCGCGGCAGCAGGAGGCGCACGGCAACAAGGAGGGGTTCAGCGGGCCGTGGCTGGTCGGCAACAAGTTGTCGTACGCCGACTTTGCCTTCTACCCGTGGCAGTGGGCCGCCCAGAGGGTCCTGGGCGACGACGGCGAATACAAGATTGCCGATTTCCCGCTCGTGAAAGCATGGCTGGAGAAGCTGAATGCGCGGGAGTCGGTCAAGTACGCGCTACCGGAGTAGGAGCTATCGCGCCCTTCGGAAAGGTGAAAAGAAGGGTGTATATACCTGCATACATGGGCGTAGCGAGCAAGGGGTTGGTTGGCATTTGTTGGGTTCGGGGTTGTTGTTGTTGTTGTTGTTGTTGTTGTTGTTGTTGTAATCCCTGCATCTTGCTTCCAATTTTTAAAAATTCTATTATTGGTTTATCACCCATGGTTCAATCGCATGCTTTACTAGTGAAGATACTGGATCAATCTCTTGAAAATTGTGAGCGATGTGCGATATGTGCGACGTGAGAATTTGGTGGGGACCTGACATTGAAAGCTTGTCTCACCCAAGCTCTCGAGCTGTCAAGATCACCTGACCAGCAGGTACTGAGCTACCTGGACAACTGGATCAGTAAACCGGTGCTTACCAGCCTCAGCCAGCCACCAGCGGAACAGCCACTTTTTCGACAACAGCTTCATTTTTGTTGCCAAAGAGCCAAATCACCACATCGTTGTTGGACGCATGTGTTTGCGAATCAGTGATGTGGGGTAAGGTATGGCAAATGTAGAAATGGAATAGTGGCTGGCCCAACTGCCATCGAATTCCGTACTGTGTAGGTTTTCCCTAATCAGCTCGCCGTACTGTGTAAGTCTTCCCTAATCAGCTCGTCGCACTGTGAAAGTCTCCCATCATCAGCTCACCGTACTGTGTAGATATTCCATAATCAGCCCACCGTATGAACACTGTGTAGCCCCCCATAATCAGCTCGCCGTACTGTGCAGGTCTCCCATAATCAGCTTTCCGTACTGTACAGGCATAATCAGCCCGCCGGTGGCCGAGTGACTAAAATCCCCCAACCACATCAACCACATCAACGCAACCTTCGTTTCATCACCTACTGTACAAATCTTTTGATTCTCATCAGCGACTGGACAAATTTTCAGTACATCTTCTAAGATATATTATTTGTACAATTCACACGTCTCTTGCAACTATCTGTCGACGGTTGCCTCTACCAAACACAATCGCCACCATTCTAGTTGCCACTGCGAGAACACACCTACGCGCCGACTGCCAACACCATGGACCCCGAGCAGTCAAACCCGGACCTCGAGTCCTTCCGGAATCAATGGAAGGCCGAGGTTCAAGCGAAGAAGGTTGCCTTTGGACCTCAAGAACAGCGAACTAGCCCGTCCACTAGTCGAGCCAAGGCGGCCGCACCACGGTCAAAGGGGCCCTTAGCCCAAGAAGAGGAAGAGGACGAGGACGATGATTATGTCCCGTCACAGCCATTTGACGATGCTTTGGAGGACACGCCCGTCCCTTCCCTTCAGACGGGGCATCCCGAGGGCTCGCAACAGGGCGATCCCGTTTCGGCCCTCGACCACTACGAGAAGGCCGTCGAGAGGGAAGCCGTGGGAAAGCTGGGAGACAGCTTGCAGCTGTACCGGAAGGCCTTTAGAGTACGTGTAGAGCCTCGCGCATCAAAGCCGGGTTGTAACTAACGTGATGCAGTTGGACGACACCGTCGACCAAAAGTACAAGGCCAAGCACTTCCCGAGGCCGCCACCTAAGCCGGCACATGCCTCGGCGGTGGCCGCAACGGGGGTGGCCGCAACGGGGGTTAACTCTGCCCCCAAGGCGGTGTCGATGAAGGACCTCATCGCGAGCTTCTCCGCGATGTCCATCATCCCGGCGCCACCCCCGGTCGAAGGGATGCCGCCACCCCCGTGCTGGCTTGCCGATATCCCGGCGGAAATCTTGGTGCACATCCTGCTCCAAGTTGCCCTCGTGGATGTCGGGGCTTTTATGCGGCTGGCCCGGGTGTGCAAGCGCCTGGCTTTCCTCGTCGCCACCGAGAACGGCATTTGGCGACGCCTCTGCCTCGGCAGCGAATTCGGCTTTGGGGGGATGCACCACTACTGGCAGCATCAAGTCTCTTGGGATCCCCTCAGCGACGCTGACCTCGTCGCCGAGGCCACCGAAGGCGAGGCAGCTGCACTCGCGGCGGGAGTTGATACCGCCAGCCCTCCCTCATCCCTCGTCCTGGCCGAGCGCGCCGACCAGCATGCGCGTGAGAGCACCGCGGATACGCTAGCCTTGTTCCGCTCGCTGTACTCGAACTCGTGGCAGCGCATGTTCCGGCAGCGGCCACGAATCCGCTTCAACGGTTGCTACATCAGCACCGTCAACTACACGCGCTCCGGCCAGGCCAGCCACAACCAAGTCACCTGGGCAACGCCGGTCCACATCGTCACCTATTATCGGTACCTGCGCTTCTTCCGCGACGGCTCCGTCATCAGCCTGCTGACCACGTCCGAGCCTGCCGATGTCGTGCGCCACTTGACGCGCGAGGCCCTGGCGCTGCACGCCGGCGGCGCGAGTTCGAACCTACCCACCGCTGTCATGCGTCAAGCGCTGAAGGGCCGGTGGCGGATGGCGAAAGCATCGGGCAACCCCGGGGAGTCGCCGACCAACATCGAGAACGACGTCACTGTCGAGACCGAGGGTGTTAACCAGTACATCTACCGGATGGACCTCGCCCTAGACACGGTGGGAAAGCGCACGCGGAACAACAAGCTCGGATGGAAGGGCTTCTATAGCTACAACCCGCTGACAGACGAATGGGCCGAGTTTACGATGCGCCATAGCAAACCCTTCATTTTCAGCCGGGTGAGGAGCTACGGGGTGCAGGGGGCGTAGTTGGGGTATGATTTGTCGATGAGTGGAGTCAAAGGGCTAGAGCGAAGTCTTCTTTTTCAGCAGGAGTTACGGGGTGAAGCGGGCATAGCGGGGTTCATCTATACCCAGATGAGAGGAGTTAAAAAGGGTCAAAGGAAGCATATATTCGGTTTCATGGTAATGAATATTTGGGCTTAGACTACTTGGTAGATAATTCCAAGGTTGTTCCAACGCTGTGTTATTTCAACTCTTCTTTTGCCAATCAAACCTGTCCCAGCGTATTAAACGAAGAGTTGGTGCGAAAAAGGGGTTCAGGGACGCGGGCAGTGCCAGAGCCTTGGCAAGAAGCTTGTGTCAAAGCTTGTGTCAGCTGTGACTGGCTGGCCAGCTGCGCCTCGGCCGCGGAAGTCGAAAAGTTGCAAGTACTTCGTAACCGCGATTATTTTGCCCAGTGAAGTTGACAGGAGCAACGAAAAACGGAGAGTTCCCACACAACTTCTCTCCGTCCCCGGTCTCCGCCCCCCCTCCTCCGTGCCGTTCTCGTCACCGCGGACTGCCAACGCCGAGTTTCAGTGCCGAACCGCAACCCCAACTTCGTATCGACCAACGACTGCGCCGCCAACGCTGCGTGTCCTTGACCCCTTGACTGGCGGCGGGCCCCCGATTGTCGAGGATTAGTGAGGAACAGCGAGGAGGAGCACCAGAGAAAAGGAGGTCGATTGAGTTTTGTGACCCGAGATCGCGACTGCTCATAAACCGCCGCCGCCGCTCCTTCTTTTTCCGCGACGACAGCGAACCAAATCCGGCCCAGCATGTTATAGACTGGCCCAGCCCGATCCTTCACGTTCATTTTCTCCCACGATGGCTTCTCGCAGCGGCAGCGGCAGCCGCTCCGGCCCGCTCGGCTTTCTCTCTAGTCTCTACGATCTCGACACGCTCGATACACGATTCACAACGCCGTCATCGGTGCCCTATAGGGTCGCGAGTGACAAGCGGGAGGATGACAATAAGGTCGTCGATAAGCAGGTCGACCCGCCGAAATGGAAGTCTCTTGAATTTTACCTCTACTACCTGGTCTTCCTGACCGTGGTGCCCTACATGTTTTGGGTCGCCTATGATGTGTCGAGGCGTAGGTCTTCTCCCCTGAGCATAGTGGAGGAGCAGGCGGGGTTGACAAATGGGCAGCATCGGATCCGAGATACAACAGGTTTAAGAACCGGCTTGCGGACGGCTGGATTCCGGGGCGCAAGATCGTGAGCTCCCCTCTGAAGATTATAATATGTAGGCACATGCTGAACCGTGGCTATAGGATGTGTCGGATGCCCAGTACTACACCTTCCGGATAAACCTGCCGTACATGGCCCTTCTGCTGGTCTTCCACCCGCTGCTGCGCAGGGTCTGGAACGCCGTGTATCCCGTCCCGCAGGAGGCAAAGACCGCGAGAGCCAACGCCCCCGAGGCGGCCGAGGCGAGACTGCGCCAGCGCACGTCGTATGACTCGGCCTTTGCTGTGTTTTTCCTCGTGGTCCTACATGGCTTCTCGGCCGCCAAAATCCTCACCATCCTGGCCATCAACTACAGGCTGGTGACGGCGGTGCCGAAGAAGTACATGCCGGCGGTGTCGTGGGGGTTCGGTATCTGTATCTTGTTTGCCAACGAGCTGTGCAATGGGTATAAGTTCCGTGATATCGCACTCCTTTTGACGGGGACACCGGCCAAAACCTTGTCGACGTATACCCCCGCGTTAGTCGAGCTCGGCATGCGGATGGACCGACATGGCGGGCTCATGCGCCGTTGGGAGATCCTCTTCAATATCACCGTCCTCCGGCTCGTCAGCTTCAACCTTGACTATTACTGGAGCTTAGATAGGCGGGCTTCTAGCCCTATCGAGGTACCACCCCCCTTTTCACCACTCTGCAGCTTCGTTTCCGATCACTAACGCCGGCAAGAAGAAACAACTTGACCCCGCCAATCTCTCGGAACGAGACCGCATCGCCACCCCGGCCTCCCCCCAGGACTTCTCCTTCCGCAACTACCTCGCCTACGCCATCTACGCACCGCTCTACCTCACCGGCCCCATCATCACCTTCAACGACTACATCTCGCAGCAGCGCTACCAGCCGGCCACGCTCTCCGCCTCACGCACGCTCAAGTACGCCATCCGCTTCGCCTTGGTGCTGCTCGCGATGGAGCTCGTCCTGCACTACGACTACGTCGGCGCCATCTCCAAGTCGCGGCCGGACTGGTCGTCGTACACGCCCGCGCAGATCTCGCTTCTCTCCTACTTCAACCTGCACATCATCTGGCTCAAACTGCTGCTCCCCTGGCGCTTCTTCCGGCTGTGGAGCCTGGTCGACGGCATCGACCCGCCCGAGAACATGCTGCGCTGCGTCAGCAACAACTACTCGACCCTGTCCTTCTGGCGCGGCTGGCACCGCAGCTACTACCGCTGGCTGCTGCGCTACATCTACATCCCGCTCGGCGGCTCCAGCTTCCGTTCCGCCCGCGACGCCGCCCGCACCGTGCTCACCTACCTGGTCGTGTTTACGTTCGTTGCGCTCTGGCACGACATCAAGCTCAACCTGCTCATCTGGGGCTGGCTCATTGTGGTGTTTTTCCTGCCGGAGATTGCGGCCGGTGTGCTGTTCCCCCGCCGCAAGTGGGAGCGCCATCCTACGGCTTACCGCATGCTGTGCTGTGTTGGGGGTGTGGCGAATGTGCTGATGATGATCTCGGCGAACTTGGTTGGTTTTGCGGTCGGGTTGGATGGGCTGGAGAGTATTGTGAAGGGCATTTTTAGGGATTATTCGGGTATGTGTTGCTTGTTTCCTCCCTGCTCCTCTCCACCTTAGCCCTGATATTTTCGGTTGGTTACTAACGGTGTTTGTTTAGGCCTTGTGTTCCTTATCACCGCATGCTCGGCGCTGTTTGTGGGCATCCAGATCATGTTTGAGATACGTCAATCGGAGCTACGCAGGGGAGTGAATCTGAAGTGCTAAGCACCTGGCGTTGTAATGTATATATCTAAGAGGATTGTATCTGTATACATCCTGTCATTTTGGCAAAGTTGATAGAAGGGTCGGGAGTATTTGGTTTCATTAGCTGGCGGGCAACATGTATTTTTACACACATGCACCACTGATCCTGCGGAAGCATTCACACTTATGCAAATGTTGGTAGATCACGGAACCATCAGATTAACTACTATTTCTATTGGTGGTGTCCGCCATGAGACAGATAACACGTCTAAACCAACCACACAAACTAAGGGTATATCCTCCCACAACATACGACCAATGCCTATCCATACTACACTATCATAAACGCCAGCCTTGCGGCTATCGAGGCCTACCAGAACGGAAATAGAGAACCAGAGGAAGGCATGGAGAGCCTGACTCGTTTACGTGTGCGGTTTCGCCATCTCCATGTCCCCCGCCGCGCTCAAATCACGCCCCGCCTTCGCAAACTTCCCCTGCTTCCCCAGCCTCGTCTCCGTGACATACCTGCGCAGCCAAATCAAGCCCCAAACAACGCCAAACACAATAAGGCAGCCCACGGCAATGCCAAAGACATACGCCGCCACCAACGGGCCCTGCTCGCCTGGGTCGAGGAAGCTGTACGGGTAGAAGCCCTTGTCGGCGTGGGTGATGTAGGCTACGGCGAGGTAGAGGGCGAGGACGAGGATGAGCCAGAGCATGTGCAGGGGCGGGGGTGGGTCGGTGCGCGGGATGGTCAGCTCGAAGAGCGCGAAGGCGCTGTTGAGCGCGTGCTGCGACACGTTGCTCCACCCGGAGTACACCTCGGCGAACCAGGGGCCCGAGAAGAGCACCCCCCAGTAGACGATGGTCACGATGAAGGGGTAGACGACTACCGTGGTGTAGAAGGCGGAGTGCAGGGCTTGGAGCGGTCGTGGGAAGCGGTCGAGGAGCGCGGCGCCCGTCCGCGCGTAGGTGAAGGTGTGGATGGCGGCGACGAGGAAGTAGAAGCCGAGGCCCCAGTAGGTTAGGCTGGTGAAGAAGCTGAAGGAGGCTTGGGACGCCGCGCAGCCCGTTTCGGCTTGAGCGCATTGCCACGCCAGCACGAAGATGAGGGTGGTGAAGGCATAGAGGGACTGCACAGAGAGAGCGAGACGCGAGTTAGGGATGGGTTTCTTCTTTCTGTATTGGATATATCTGGCTGGGTTGGGCAAGCTCTGCTAGGGAAAGGAGGCTTACGATAAGAGCTCGGCAGAAGAAGAGCACCCACGGCGATAGTAGCCACGAAGTTTCGAACCGATGGGTAGGGTCCCAAAGGTCAGTTCCAAATTTGAATACCTGTCCAGCCATCTTGCCGATCGCAGTTTCGCGTATCACTGGATCACTCTGGCGGGCACGCTGGCGGGCCCTCCTGCGCAGTCAACAAAAGAAGAACCGACGAAGTGTCGTCCAAAAAGTGAAAGAAAATGCGAAAGCGACAGATGTTCGAAGGACGGATGGACCCTGGTCTTGGCGTCCTTTTATGAAAGGAGCTTGAGAGCCTGCGCCTCGACCACCTCGTGCGGGTTGAAGCCCGATTCGGTAGCCAACGCCGCAACACGCCTCGCCTCGGCTTTTGCACGGCACTCAACAGATCGAGTCGAAGCCGTTCGCGTTGCACTCGTTTGATGCTTCGATTCACCTGAGACCAGCTCCACCTGTTTCAGTCCACCTAGCATTGCGTTTGTAAATACAGACCTTGACCTGGATGGAAGTCATGCATGCATATGCATATTTTGAACTCCAACGTGGTTTTAGACCCTCGAATACGGCAGCCCGGGATGCCACCGTTACCAGCGGCGTGGTACTGGTGCGCTCCAGCGCCGGCCAAATATTCGGTGACTGACGAGCGGGGTTTGTAATATTGGCGCCTCATAGAGGCTGGCGGCGGCTGATGGGAAGCGCAGGGCGGCCAATCGTCTTTGAAAAAGTGCCATCCTCCCTCATTGTTCTGATGAGGTGAGATGGGCGGTTGAGATAAGCGAGGACATGGTGGACATCCTTCAACACTCTCTCAGAGCCGGCATCGATCTGTAATTTCGCGTATGGGGTTTGAGCACGAGCTTGCAACCTGGAAACTTCAGATGACATAAGTGTATGTGGTCGATAAAAGGCCACGGTGAGGTTCAAATGCGAAGGTGAAAACGCGATATTTAACCACCCATGGAAATAGCCCGGGTTGGCAAGGAGCTGCTCATCCAAGATGACTTTCGGAAAGAGGTCACTGAATGCGGCACACCGTGTGTTCATCGCAGCGCACACTGACCTACCGGGGGCTTTTGAGACCCATTCGGTTCTGGCCCCGAGTGGCAGGGAGCTGCAGGCGCCCTGTCCGCATCTGGATCTTCACCACCAACTCGCCCCCAATGTGCAGGGTGTCTGCAAAAACAACACTCTTTCGGCGTGGCCAACACTCTTTGTTGGCACCATGGATCGTCGTCTCGTGTCTCATCGCACCTTATGTAGTTGGTTAGGGGTGGGCAAGTGGTACGGGCAGTTGAAAAAAAGATGGGTAAAAATTCCACATGACGGCGTAAGTGGAAGGGGTGTGCCGAGGCGCGTCTAGAAGACGGGAATGCGCAAAGTCATATCCCGAATTCAATATCCGCAGCCGTATTGGCGATGGTGCATACCCAGGTTCTGCTCTCGGGAGGAAGAGGGGCAACAATCGGCAGGTCGTCCCTCAACTAGCTCCTGGATTGGCTGAAGATTGGATGACGAGTCCAGGCCTGCAGAAACATGCAATTCACACGAAGAAACGAGCCCCTTTGACTTGCTCGGATGGCACCCAGCTATTGGAGACCCTGGCAACAACGCAACGCTATTTCTGCAAATGGAGAGTGGATTTGCAGGGCACTGTGGGGTGACTGCAGGGCACTTCCCTGGTTTTCCAGGAACCGCTCGCCAGCGCCAACCCACCCAATCGTCCCAAGTGGAGCATATCTCTGATTTTGTCACTTCTCCCGCCAGGAGGTCCCTCTTCTTGAGATCCCGATCTTCTCCTCTTCAACCAGCCTACGACGGGAGTGTCGTGCTGCCCGCGTTTGCTCGATCCTTTCACAGCAGCAGTCGCAGCAGCAGCAGCAGCAGCACCTTGCGAGACGATTTCGGGATCCACCTGCTGGGTTACCATTTTCCGTCTCGACAGCTCGACCCCATCGGATCGGCCACAACTCGAAACAGCGACACGCTCAAACCGGCTTGGTGTGACCCGCTGATACAGGTCCCTACCACCGTCGCTGGAGACTCCAAACTCAGCCTCACGAAACTCGCATCGCGCTCGACGAAGAAAGAAACCCTTGCCCAGGACACCCAGAACAACAGAGAGCCGGGATCCCGTGCTTAAAAATTCGGAAGCCGGTGTGGTGTTTCCTATTTCCAGTGCCCCCTACGCCCTATCCTTACTTCGTCCACCACCAGCCTCTGGGGTCCGTCCGTCACCATTATGTTTCATCCCGGGGCCCATCCGTGACAGGCGCCTCCGTTCGATATCTTGACATTCCCGCCGTCCGCTAGGTTTAGATATATATTCGCTTTGTTTCCGACCGGTCCATCGTCTGTCACTCCCGCCGTCATCTTGTACGAATCTTCTTTTACCGCGGGAGCCCGCAGGGACGCACGAGCTTAGGGCCCACCGGCGAGCCGCCCCTCCGCTTGTACAACAAGTTCCTGCCGATCTCCGCCGTGATCTGCGGCGAATCACAGCCGATCCCCCGGAACCCTCGATACTGGCTCGGAGAACCCCCTCAACACCTCCGCCATGGCTTTCCCGCAGCACGCGTCGTCACGCTTTTCCGACGTGCAGCTGCCTATTGTGTTCTTGCCCGACGTCGAGGAGGAAGACGACATGGAATCGGGGGCTGGCCTCGAGGTTGATACTCGGCCAAAACAGAATGTTCCCCAGCCTGCTCCCGCTCCTCAACACCCCATCCCATCTATGCAGCAGGCCTTTGCGGAATCCTTGATGGAAGCCACGCAAGGCGCGGCCGTGAAACCAAAACTACGAACCGGCGATGCCAAGGCAAGGCGCGAGGAGCTCCTGGACGGGGGCCGGTCCGACCCGCCCCCGACAGCCTTGTGGCGCGGCCGGGCAGGCCAGAGGACACACGAGCTTTGCAGACTGCTGGCCCAGATCTCATTTGGTGTGTACTTGCTCCTCCATGGCATGGCCAATAGCCAGATCCTGGTTGTTTCCATTCTGCAAGGTCACATCGACGAGGTGGACGAGTTTTTGGAGACGACGCTCGAAGATATGGATCTTGCCACAAATGATATGGAGGACCGGATCAAGCACTTGAAGCTCCCTATGGACAACATCGGCGTCTTTGAGAAGATGCTGGAGGATAGAAACTTTCGCATGCAGATCCTCGACGGGAACCAGAAGATCGAGCATATTTTAGCTCGCACTCAGGTTGCACTCAAACAAACGACCCATGACCTCGCCGAGGGACTCGCGGCCACCCGGGAGTTTACCATCTACCTTGCAGAGCAGCAGCATGGGAGCTGGCGACGGGATCGCCCGGATGTGATTGACATCTTTGACGCCATGAAAGGAAACACAGATGGGTGGTTCAACGCGTTTATGGATCTGCAAGCCAAAGGAAGCTCCCTGAACGCGCTGATTGTCAGGCTGACCGATATCGTCTCCGAGATGGAGAGGAGGGCGGGCGAAGTGAGCCGGAAGACTAGGGTAGGTCGACTCAAGAATTTGCCCAGCGGGTGAAGCGGCCACTAACCGACCCAACAGTTTAGCGTGAAGCCATACTCTTCCCCCAGTCATAGCCCTCGGCCATCTGATGCGTCGTCGATCACGACCCCTCCAACCTCGCCACCACCTAGGAAGATTCCAAACTCGCCTCCCCGGCTTTCGTTACGGCTGAGCGCAATACAAACGGTCGCCTTAACCATCGACACCGAGACCCAGCTGATGGCCGAGTTACATGCCCCCAAGGAAGACGACACGGCCGCCCGGAACGAGGCGGGTGCAGACGGGGCTACGCGGCAGTCAGTCCTGATGGTAACTTCGAGGTCGCCACCCCCCGAGGAGTCACCCCCTGGAACGCCTAGTGAACTACCACCCCAGTCACCCCCTGCCAGAGACCCGCGTCGGCTTTCTAAACGGCCATCAATGTTGGCAGACTTGCCCAAGCTTGAAGTGCCCAAGGAAGACGACGAGGGAGAGGAAGCCACGTTCTATCTCTTGCAACCTAGAACATACACACCTCAGCCCCCGTCGCCACAGCCGTCGCCCCGTATTATTGATGAGCGGCCCAAGGCGAACCCGGAAAAGTCAGATACCCAAAGGCAAAGGGTCGATTCTTCGGCTTCTTCGGTCGAGTCTGCAGCACAGCTAACGCTCGAACCCATCAAACCACGGGTGGAACATGTGATATCGAAACCGCAGGTACACCGGCTAAGAGTCGTTGAGATCGGATCCAAGACGGATCCCAGGACTGGCACCAGGTTAAGTCAAAGACCGGAATCGCGATCAAGGCCTGGACCGGACCCGGCACAGGCCCCCGAACTGGTTATCCCACAGGATCCTGAGGTGGTGACAACACAGAGGACGTCCCTGAGGCAACGCATCTCACTGAAGACCAGTCCTCCGGAATCAATACAGGTTCCTCACCCAAACGCGACGGAAAGGTCGTTGCACGCAGCCCCGCGGGGTTACCAGGCGCCGGATTCGGCATACGGATCCGATATGGAGCGCCCACCCGTCAACTCGATGACATCGGTCAACTCGCCTCTTGCAGATTTCTCACCGCCCTTCATTCATCCAGGGATGATACCCTCGCCACATTCTGAGAGGCAGTTTTTCCGCCCCGTCCAAGCCAGCCCCTACTCGCCGTTACAGCAAAGGCCACACACTGCCGGGACCGTGGGCCCTCATCAGTTTCCGCCTCCCCCGAGGCACGCCCCTTCTAGGATGGGGATGAGCATAATGAGTACCGACACCTCTATGACCGGCCAGACGGGCAAGTCGGTCAAGAAGAAGCGCAGCGCGTTCGGATGGTTGAAGAAAGCTTTTGCCTTAGATGATGAAGAGCGAGCAGCGTTCGAGCAAAGGAAGAGGGAACAGACTCCCAGCAACCCTTATTACGAACCCAAGAGCCAGCAGTTCTTGGATGGCAAACGCATTCGGCCCCGGCCGGGTTATTAAAGCCTACCCGGCGGCCCGGCCATTGTGCCGCCCGATCTAGTTCGCCAAGATAGTGCTTCAGTGCTGGTAACAAGCGTACCAGGCTTTTGCGGCCCGGGCCGGTTGATATGAAACCGGCCCAGCCAGCCCACTCATGCGTTCCGCGCTGTCGGGGCCGGTTTTGCTTGCTGTTTCATGCGTTTGATACCCAGCGAAACCAGATTCCCCCTTCCTCCAATCTACAGACCTATAATCTAGATTTGGACTTTTGTTTGTTTTATGTTTATTTCACTGTTACGTTCCGGTTGGGCTCCTGCGGGTTTTTACTTTAATTCCGGTTTAGCTGCGCCATGCTTTGGAAACGGGTCAGCTTGGTTTGTACAAAGGGGGAAAGGAAGGGCATTGCATAGCGAGGCGAGCGCGGGAATCTATTTAACTCCATGTAACTATAATACATAACGTTAACGTTAATCTTATGGGTTGGAGATGAGGTATAACTAACTAGTTAGTTAGTTAGAATGATTTCGCACTGTCCTCATTACGTAAGGAAATCAAAACGTTGAGACCTTCAGATCCTTGCCGAAATTTCTCTCGCCTTTCTTTCTTTCAGCAACATCTTCTCAGCCACCATGACTCAACCGAACGACCACCTTTCCGATCTTGACCGCCATGTGCAGCAGCTCGAGGGCAAAGTCAACCAACTACGGGCGTCCCTGACGCACTGGCAACAATGGTACCTCGATTACTCGGCGCTCAAGGAGGAAGTCGAGCAGCTGCCCAGCGACACGCCTCCCCATGAACAGCTCCGCCGCATCCGCCGTGACTTTGATAGTCCGCGGCTGACCAAAAAGGAGATCAACGAGATCATGGGAAAGCATGACCTCAAGGCACCTGAACAGATCGTCCACGTGCTGTCGCGGCGCCTGGACTATGTCGAGCAGAACATAAACACCTTGTCCAAGTCTCTCGAGACCGAGGAGAACCGGCTTGCGGCGGCGGCGGTCGTCGCGCATCCTAATGCTGGCACTGACGAGGAGAGCGGCTTGCCCTTCACCGATATTATCGAGGAGTTGGACGAGGACGACAACGTGGTCAACTTCCGGTTGCAGGGTGGCGCGGATGCCGAGCCGAAAATTAGTGAGGCGTTGAAAAAGGCGGGCATTCAAGAGGAGGATCTTGCTGACGCCGAGGCGGCGCTGTCGAAGACCCTGGGGGCCTTGGGGCTTGATCCAAAGGAGGATGGGACAGAAAAGGAAACTGCCCCCGGCCCTACAGCAAGGGCGAGCAGCACCACAAAAAGCACTCCTGACGATAAGCCTGTCACTCGCAAAAAGTCTGTGTCCTTTGCGGAGGACACGAAGAGCGGCGATGAGGTTGAGGCTGCCCAGTCGAAAGCGGCCCAGGATCTCGAACGGCTCATGCAAAAGGCCAAAGAACAGGAAGCGATAGATTTGTCGTCGGCAGTCATCCCGGATAACGAGTCAGCAGAGGAGAGCAAACTGCGCCGGGAGATGCTCGAATATGGCATGTCCGAAATTGGACCGGTCGTGGCCGAGCTCCAGTTGGAAGAGGACTATTCCGGCGACGAGGACGACATGGATTGGATAGGCTCTGACGATGAATTCGACGACGAAGAGACAGACGACGATGCCGAGGATGAGCTTGGACGGTCTAAACGCAAAGTCGTCACTTCCGACTACATGAAGCGTATGCAGGAGCTCGAGAAGCGTCTCGCCCGGCAGTCTGCCTTCACAGTCGGCGGGTCAGAAACCAAACCCGAGAAGCTAGACGAGGGCATAGGGCGGATAGCGGTGGTTAGCGAACCAGCCCCGTCAACTGAACCAGCGCCTGTGCCCACGCCTACTGAATCGAAAGGAAAGAAGAGCGTCAGTTTCGCGTCCAAGCTGGACATCGCTCCCGACACTGCGCGGCCGGATACCGGACCCATTGGTGATATCGTAGAGAAGGTCGCGGAAGAGGAGACGCTCAAGGACCCCGAAGAACCACCAAAACGAGTATCAAGGTTCAAGAAGGATCGGCCTGCCGTCGCGTCTTCCTCGCACCGTCCCGCAGGCAAGCTTCCTCCTGGTCCGCACCAACTTCCCAGCAACTTTAGCATGGGCGGCTTCGACCGCCCAACCGATCCGGCCCCGCCAGAAGAAATTATGGCTCACACAGTCGCTGAGCGGCCTACCATAGTAACGGCAGAACCGGATGGCCTAGAAGATGCCGCTCTGTACGAAGCCGCTGCGCTTGAGTACAGCCGTTTGCGGAACCAGCTGATTCGAAATCAGGGTGGTAACGTCGACGATGAGACGGGTCTCGTCCCTCTCGACGAGGAACTAGGCGGGCCTAAACGGCAGAGCAAGTTCAAAGCCGCGCGGTTGACTAAGCTACAATAGCTTGGGAGCCAAGAGGCTGTTATGTGGTCGATATATATCGAGCTATATGAGCGTTCCATTTGCTATGACTCATCGTGTTGAACCATCGCACCGTTCAATCTTCCTTCTGTCCCATCCCCATAACGAATACTCTCCCGTCTGTTATGCCAGCATAACAGATTCCCATTACCACCAAGTTGGTGACAAACACCGGAACGCTTAATTATCTGACAATTGATGGTCTGTAGCTCTCTATCTACATTCCATTACTAGCGATTCCAAGAACAACACTGATGGGCTCTCTGACGCCTCGACCTTGGCAACAACAATATCTCGTGGTCCTGGCGATTCGTTTCACCCCTCACATTCCTTCCCGCTATAAACATAGTAGGGGCAATAAAATCCATGTTTGTTCCCATGTGTGTTTTGTGTCCTCGAGTTCGCAGACGTTCCCCCTCCATCCGTCCTCGTCTCATCACACGTCGAAAGCCCTCACAACCAACAGCCAACAACAAAAAGAAGAAACATAAAAGAAAAATGCACATGTAGCATTCCAACCTCAACTAATCTTGGCCTTGCTAAAGTCCATCTCGGGGTGCTGCTCCTGGAACTTCTTCAGGATATCTGCCTTCTTCTGCTCGTCGCTGGTCGGCAGGCCCATCTCCTTCTGGCGCTGGTCGAACATCATCTTCTCCACCATGCCGCGCGTCTCGCCGTCCAGGTCCGACAGGCTGCTGTTCTCGGGCACGATCTTGGTCACGTCGATCCGCGGCGCCGTCGTCACCACGTGCGCCCACCACTCCATCTTGTTGATCTTGTCCAGGTGAATCTCCACGAGCTTGGTGTTGTCCGGGGCGGCCGAGAGTGTCCAGGTGCTGTCGTCGGGCCGGATCGCGTGGGGGAGGGTGCCCTGTGGTTGGGGGGAGAGAGGTTAGGTGATGCGCCGGGGGGTAGTGAGAAGGAAAAAGGGAAGGGCAGAGGGCAGAACGGACTTTGATAATAGGTTCTTGACCCTTGATTCCGGCCGAGATGCTCTCCTTCTTGATGTCTACCACTAGATCACGCCCTTTGAAGTTGCCCGGCACTGTGAAGGTGATGTCGAGGTCGCCGATGGTCTGGGTCCATTTGTAAGGGAGAGCATCCTGCTCGGCTTGTTCCTTTGCGCGGGCCGCGGCCTGCTCGGCGGGGGTTGGTTCTGTGAGAAAAATTGTATATGTTAGTTCCCCTGTCCGCCGGGGGGAGGGGGGGGGGGTTGGGGGGTGGAGAGCTTTGGCTTTGGGAGCGGAACTGAAGCTCTTGAGGGGAAAGGAGAGGGAGGTTGGCAAAGGATGAACGCAAGAGAGGTAGCATACCGTTGTCAGCCATATTTGATCTTTTTGATAGAGTTCGATCTCAAGTCCTGTGAAAGTGGTAAACAGCGACGAGTTGGTGATTTCTACGTCGTAAGGAGCCGAGAGAAGTTCATGGAAAGTAAACTCAGAGCTCCCGGCATGGCGGGGCACTGCTTCCGGCCCCTCCACCCCGCAGCTTACAGGGCACAATTGCCCCACGAGCACACAGCCTTGCATAACCCGACAGGGATATGTTATGCTTGGCGAAACACAACGAGCCAGCCTTGGGCCGACAACCACCATCTCCAACCATCGCGACCGAATCGCGATCAAGCTCGAGATTACAAATTCGAAAACGAGCAACCACCCTCGACCGCCAAAATATTTGCAGTTACTACACCCATACATAAACCAACTTTCCCCTTTCCAACCACCCATCTCCCACCCACAGTTCCCCAACCTCAACAACCGCCACAATGTCACGAAAACCAGCTTCCGCCCTCCCAACAATCAGCACCGAGGACATGTGCCCGGTCTGCAAAACCATCCGCTACCTCAACAAAGACATGGAATTCCTCATCAACCCCGAATGCTACCACTCGATGTGCTCCAACTGCGTCAACCGCCTCTTCAACGACGGCCCCAACCAGTGCCCGTACGCCGGGTGCCACCGCACCCTCCGCCGACGGGGCTTCCGCAGCGCCTTCTTCGGGGACCTGTCCGTCGAGCGCGAGGTGGACATCCGGCGGCGCGTCGCCGCAGTCTTCAACCAGGCCGAAGACGACTTCGAAACGCTGCGCGACTTCAACAACTACCTGCAGATGGTGGAGGACCTGACGTTCGACCTGGTGTCGGGCAGCGACGCGGAGCGGCGCGCCGCCGAGGCCACGCTGCAGCAGTGGGAGGCCGAGCACAAGGCCGACATTGAGCGCAACCGGCGCGCGGGCAAGGAGGCCGACGAGCAGTCGCGGCGGCGGCTGGCGGCGGAGCGGGAGGCGGCGCGCCAGCGCCGCGTGGAGGCGCTGCGCGAGGCCGAGGAGGAGAAGCTGGAGCGGGTGCGGAATCGCGAGGCTGAGCTGGATAGTCTGGCGCAGGGCCAGGCGGGCGATGTGGGTGGCGGGGGTGCGCAGCGGGTGCAGTTGAAGAGGCGGGGGCATGCGGCGGCCGCCCGGGCGGTCGAGGCCGCGGTGAATACGGCTTCTGCTGCGGCGGCGTCGTCGGCGGCGGCGGATGTGGGGAGGCTATCGATCCGCGGGTTGAAGGAGAAGAAGAAGCCGCCTCCGTCGGAGGGGCCGTACGATCCGTTTGGGGGGATGGATTTCGTGCCGAGCAGGTACAAGGTGCATGAGGGGCTTACGCACCCAGCGATTGAGAAGTACAAGGGCGACTCAGGGCACGTTACGGGTGGGTATAACTTTGAGGAGTACACCACAAGGGCTATGTTTGAAGCATTTGCCGGGTTGGGGGTGTTCATCGAGGACGAAAAGGAAGCGGGGATTGGGCTGTCCGCTGGGGAGGTGGCGGCCATGAGCGCGGGAATTGCTGCCGTGGGTGATAGGATGGAGGTGGACTAGGGGGGGGAGCGGGTTATTACAATTGCCATTCTTCTGTCTTGTTTATGCATAGCGTTTGGGCGTTCTCAGGGGAACCAGGGGTGGGATCTGGGAAAAGGGGCAAATGGTGGGTTAAATCACGAGTAATATAGACACGGAGCGGCAGCTCCTAGGTTAAGGTAGTTTGGTCAAACTGGCGGGTTTAGCAACTCCCATGCGTCACTGTTGTCGTGGACAGTGGGCTGCTTTAGTGCGGGCTCCAAGACCAAATATTAAATCTACAACTAGACACACTTGGCCAAGTCACCCTGCTTGAAGGACCGCTCCTACCCCTTCTAGATTCCAGCTAAGTATGTTGAACAACAAGCAGAAGAAAACCCTAGCTTTCGAAGCGGCATAGAAATAAACACTACTTGTAGTACGTCCTCCATGTTCCAATCCAACCAAGATATCGGAAGACAGGTGCCTGATTCCCGCCTGCAAAACAAAAAACCTCGCCGGAAAAAAAAACACGAACCTATAAACAACGCCACGCTAGATGCTAAACGAATGGCACTGAGTACCTTTCAAAACGGAACTCTGTCTCTCGCTCCTGACTTCGCCTTTTCTCAAGATGCTGCTAGTTCCGATTTACGTGGACGACTACCCCCTACTGATGCCAAGGAGTCTGTTGCGCCGGCCGTGGGAAGACTGGGATCGTCTCCAGCTGGTCTAGCCCGCCACCTATCGGCTGTTGGTTATGCTGCCAGCCCATGCCGGTGGCGTGGTTGACGAAAGCACCTTGTCGAAACGGGTTCGTGCTCCCGGTGGGCTGAGACAAGATACCGCCCGCCGTAACGGGCCGTTCCTGCTGGGTGGCTTGAGCCGGCTGGGCAGCTCCAAAGTTTTTGGCGAACGGGTTGGTCCCCGTCTGAAGGGGCTGCAAGGGTGCAGTGGCTGTTGTCGACGGCTGCTGGGGAGGCTGGGACTGGAAAAGAGAGTTTGATGCCGGGGTACCGAATGGCTGGGTGGCTTGGGGTGATGAGCGGGCAAACGGATTGGTGGACTGGCTTGTGGCGGGGCGCTGTTGGGTATTCACCGGTGCTGGCGCCGGCGCAAAAGGCGCGCCTGTCTGCTGGTTCATGAGCATAGACTGACGGAATGGGTTTGTAGTCTGCTGTGGAGCCTGGAGGCCCTGGAAGGCAGGTGCCGCAGTGCTCTGAAAGTTGGCAGCCGTGTTCTGTGGGATCGGGGAGAGAGAGTTGGGTTGGAAGCCAGGTTGGGGTTGGGATTGGGGGGAAAACCCCCCAAAGCCGGCCCCCGTAAAAGCGGGTTGCATCTGCTGAGGAGCCTGCTGGGTGGGAGAAAAGGTGGGCTGACCCTGCTGCTGGAACGGAGCACCGGTCTGGAACCCAGTTGGCTGGGGGGCAAAGCCGGTTTGAAGTTGAGGGAGCTGCTGTGGTTGGAATGGTGCCGGGCCCCAGGGTGACATGCCCATTTGCATCTGCGTTTGCGGTTGAGGTTGCTGCCCCTGCTGCGGCTGGGGCTGCGGTTGGGGCTGCACAACCATGGGCGTTTGGTTCTGTTCAATGGATTCGAAGAAGTCGATTAGGTCGCCATCCGGACCCTTCGTCGGCTCTGCTTTGGCAGGAGGCGGTGGGAGCTGTTCGTTTGCGTTTGCGCTGGTGCTCGGGCTTGAGGCGGGTTTCGCCAAGTCAAATTTGATCGACTTGGCCCCTGATGATCCGGCCTTCGACTTCTTAGCCTCTAGTTCAGCCAGGTACTGCCTCCTGTGGACCTCGAAATCGGGGTCCTTCAAGTACTCCTCAAGCTGGCGCCCTAGGTTCACCGGTGCGTGCTTTAGCTTGGGGACCTCCACTCTTGTGTGGTGCTCATATTGCCTGGCGACACTGAGGTACTGCACAACATAGTCCGTTTGCCTCGTAAACAAACGGTAGATGCCCATAGCCCTCTCAGCGTCCGTTTTGGACAATTCAAAGAAACGGCCTGTTAACCGATTAGCGGGCAGCAACTACAAGCTGTTCTGGAGAGGCTCACCGAGAATGTTGATCAGTGCTTGGTTCAGGGCTTGAAAGAGGGACAAAAGGTCCAGTACCAGGAGCCGGAAGACAGTGATGGTAATTTCGTTTTCCGGCTCATTCTCCATCACATCACATTTGAGCAGAGCGGTGAGCTGATGTTGGACAGTCTCCGTCTCGCGTAGCAAGCCCTTGTCCACCGAAAGCTTCTCTAGTCGGGATTCTTTGGCTCGCACCCAGTCAATCTTGGTCTCCCGGAAGGCGCGCGATCGTTCGGAAAGATAGTTCGCATAGTGGCGGATGTTTCGGCCTTGGGTTTGGGCTGCAAATTGGGGTCAGCTGATGCCAATGTCGAGATGATCGTCCATGACTGACCGTCGGAGAACATGCTCACGGCCAGCATATTCCTGTGCTTAGCTAGGTAGGCCAGTGTCACATCCGGCGAGCCTTCGCGGATCATCAGGTGGACCGTGATCAGGCTTTTGAAGGCCACGGTCCATGTCGCATCACGAAGGCGATACTGCAACGCCCTGAATACTTCTCCGACACCTGCCTCGCCGGCGTGCGTTGCAACCAGGATATGTTCGATGTACTTCGTCTTGGGGGGCGCGGCCTAGAAACATCGGTATTGGTTAGCAAGAGGGCCACCTCGAAGTAAAGAACGAGCGATATACCTTCACTTTGGTCGCCCCCTTCACCGACTTCTCGAACGAGCTCGCCATGACCACCAAGTTGAGTTGTCGGGCAACCAAAGGCCACGCGGGGTTGTTGGTTAACCCGGACTCTCGGGCTCTCGGGCTCTCGGGTTAGAGGGCGTTTGGGTTCGTCGAATTGACTTCGACTTTGGTGGCGGAGGCTGGGGTAATTTATTCCGGGGCACTCGGCACGGATTCCTGCTCAACGAGTTGAACAATACTGGTACGCTGCGCGAGCGTTGGGTGCGAGACGAGGCGTGGATGAGGTCACGATCGGGCAGCGGGCGGCGTTCGGCCTGCGCTACAGGTGAGCCAAGTCGCGCGCTGTCTAGAAAGCTGATAGGTTCTTGGGGTCGTGGCTCTTGTCGGGCCAAATGCAGAAGGCGGCGCTGGAGTCTCAATCTGCAGCCTGCCCAAGGCCTAAACAGGGGTCGGGCGAGACACCCATGTCAAAGGAAAGGACCGCGGGCAAGGACAGACACACACGGCTTGGCGGGCCGTGGAGAAGGCAATTTCACAAAACGCCGTTCATCAGTTTGTGAGCGCCATGTCAAACTGTTTGCTTGTCCGACAGTGATGTGAGACGCGGTATCAAGAGATGGACCAATATAACCCAAGTTCAATTTGGTAACAGGTTTGGTCGCTTAATGGTGTCATTGCACAGCTTGCTCCATCACCATATGGCAGCGCATTCAACAATGAAACAGAGCAATTTCGAATTTACCAACAGATATCATACCGTAATAACATAAATTGGTTACAATCATCTACCCGACGTCACACATTCTCAAATCACCGTAGCACATGGAATACGTGTTTCAAGGTGCATCAGATAAAATATTTAGTTAAAAATAGGCGGCGGGAGGTGGGTGAGACAACCACCACTTGGGGACAATGTCTTTTTCCACCACCATCCCTAGCCCCGCCGAGGTGCCCAGTGGTTCTCCCTTGTGGAACACGGCCACTTGGTCGTCCGCAAGGTCCTTCGCATTCGATTAATCAGAGATGCCATCATTGCGTCCGATGAGTAACAAGGTCGGTGTGCCGAACGCTTATTTCATGCTCCCAGCCTTCTATCGCAACCAAACCACTTAAGCCCCGAAGGGAGAGTTTGGAAGGTCCAAAAGGAGGGAGTTTCATCATAGAAACACCTGGGCTTTCATCATCTAGGCGGTTGTCAGCTTGAAATCCTCAACTCAATTCGTCGGTTGGTGTGGTAGCACTCACTTTGTTTTGAATGGAAGGGATGAAGAAGAAAAGAAAAAAGTTCAAAAACTTTCTGGTGCAAATTATTTTTGAGGGGTCGCTGTCCGGAGCAGCGGACCCACTTTGAGTTTGCTCGGGCCAAACATTGGCCGAGTTAAAGTGGCCTGTTTTTGATCGAGCAACAGGGATTCGTCGAACAAGCTTTCATTCTCATCGCGAGTTCACGTGTTTTTTGAGTCGTTGGATGATGACCGCCCAATGTGAGCAAATCTTAATCCTGAGTTGGACTCAAAAAAACAATGGCAATGATCCAGGTGCCGGTGAGAGGCATCCGGACTCTCTCACAACGGAATTTTAGATGTTTGAGAGGCCTACTCAGCCCACAATCCGTTTACATCAACAGATCACAAACCTGCAGGCATCTTACACAAAATACTGCTTCTGCTACTCATTCTCACTTCACCAAAAATGTGGACCCCGATCGAAAGGCAGTCGGCCAGCAACTACGGGAAGAATGGGCTAGATACAGTATGCCCTTCCTTGTCTCACAAGATGATCACATGTCGTTGCTGACTTCATCAAGATGAATTTCCGGAGCCGTCTAGGGCAGAAGACTTCAAGGAGGGACAAACCGTCACTGTCCACGGCTTCCTCTTCAGGAAACGGATAAAATCCTCAAAACTAGCCTTTGCAGACATTCAGATCGACAATGGCCCCGCTGTCCAGATCACTTCCAGCTTCCAAGAACAAAACAGCCCAGCCCACGCCGTGAACCAAGACCTCAGGGGTATTCCCCTTCACAGCCCAGTCTCCGTGACAGGCACCGTTGCCCAGCTCCACACCAACTCACAACCCGACGACACCCTTTTGGATACAGCCAAAGCCGATGGCGAGACACAATCACTAACGGGATCCTCAAGACCGGGCAGTTTCCCAGACCAGGTCTTCCGTATTGATCTTGATCTGACGAGCATCCAACCCTTGAACGTCTTCCCTAAGGATATCATCGTTTCCAAGGGCGTCCAATTTCCGCCCTCGTCGCGCCATCTGCAGATCCGGTTTTCTGACGCCCTACGCACTCGGTTACTTGTCCGCCCGCAAATAGCATTCCAATTGAGAAAGTCTCTCAACGACCTCGCCTTCACTGAAGTCGAAACGCCCGTGTTGTTCAAGCCCACGCCGGAAGGGGCGAGAGAATTCTTGGTCCCGACTAGGCGCCCCGGGTTGGCGTATGCTCTGCCACAGAGCCCCCAGCAGTACAAGCAGATTCTCATGGCCAGCGGCATCCGGGGATATTACCAATTTGCTCGTTGCTTCCGAGACGAAGATCTACGGGCGGATAGGCAACCAGAGTTCACACAGGCATGACATCACTGCTTCCATGACTGTAACTGCAAAGCGGTGGGCTAACTCGGCGCAGCTGGATCTGGAGATGTCGTTTGCTAAGGGTGAGGATGTTATGCGCACGGTTGAGTCCATCGTCTCGGACCTCGCCGTCTCCTTGAACTCGGACTTCTCCGTCGTGGATACCGGCGAAGAGGTGTATCTCGCGCCGAAAAAGAGTCTGGTATGCTCACTCGCCCTCCAGTCCAGAATACCCATCCTAATAAGCTTGCAGAAGGCAGTAGATCAGAGGGATTCTGCCACAGGCTCACGTTACTTGATGCCGCCATTTCCTCGTATGTCGTACGAAGAGGCTATGACAAGGTTTGGCATTGACAAGCCGGACTTGCGGATCCCGTTCGAGGTATGTCCACATCTAGTCCCCCAAGCAAACGCCGGCTAACAATGACAGCTGAACCGTGTCGACCACATTCTGCCGCGATCATTTGTGTCCATGATCACCCACCTCGAAAACCCGGTCGTAGAAGCCTTCAGGTTCCGGCCTAATTCTGTTGGAGAAGGCCAGGTTCCTACGTCGAGCTTCGTTGACGGGTTGATGAAGACACTTCCCCCAGCCCTTAGCCAAAATCCGGATGGTGCGCCGGTCGCACTCATCATCGACTCGTCGAAACCACTCCGCGGCCTTTCTCCTCTGGGTTTCGAGGGTGCGGGTGCTTTGGAAAGCAGTGAGATGCCTGGCCTCGCCGATTTTGAAGACGGCGATGTACTAGTCTTCCAAGCCCGCAAAGACGAGCCATTCCAAGGAGGCTCGACCGCCATAGGCACATTCAGGTCTCTTGTTTACCAAACAGCTGTCTCCAAAGGCTTGCTTCCCCGGGATCTCAGTTTTAAATTCCTTTGGGTCAACAACTTCCCCATGTTCACGCCAGACAACGAGACAGACCCGGGCCAGGGCGGCCATGCTGGCTTCTCGGCCACCCATCACCCCTTTACGGCACCTTTAACGAACGAAGACGTCGAGCTATTGGCGACAAATCCCTTGAAGGCGAGGGGAGACCACTACGATCTAGTCGTCAACGGCGTCGAGCTAGGTGGCGGCAGCCGACGTATTCATGTGGCCAAGATGCAGGAGTACATCATGAGGGAAATTCTCAAAATGACGGACTCTGGCGTGGCTCAGTTCTCCCATCTGCTCGAGGCCCTCCGTGCAGGCTGTCCTCCCCACGCAGGCTTCGCCCTCGGGTTTGACCGTCTTGTCGCGGTGCTCACCTACACGGACTCGGTCCGCGACGTCATCGCTTTTCCCAAATCGATGAAGGGCGAGGATCTCACGGTCAAGAGTCCTGGGCGGATCACCAAGGAACAGCTCGACACATACCATTTGGCGTTCCCCAGCAAAACGTGATGGTGATTGGGTTTGGGCATTCACGATGTATTTTTACTTGTATGGGGAATCCGGTACGTCACCGCCAAGGCTTGTTGTACTAGATCATAGATGGGATAAAAGGGAGTTGTGCTCGAATTTTTCCATCCAACCGACTACCCCTATCCATCTCATCATCCTCGTTATCCTCCATATCCTCCTTTTCAAAAGAATTTCGAGATGGAAACTCTCGGCCGTACCAAACATATCATCGACCAACTCTCGTCCTTGTCGTGGTAGGGTTGATGAAGAAATGAGTAGCCCTCGGCATCCTCACTTCTGTGAGTCGCAAGCGCTACATGTACTTGGCATCCTCCACTTCAAGGCTTAATATATACAGTTATGAACTAAGGTAGGCAATAATCTATAATGACTTATGTCCACATCTCACTTATGGTATACACCTATTACCTTTGTATTTTACTTTCAGAGGAAGCAAGTCAAGAGATATTATTAAAAATTATTTATTATTGAATTACGATAGAAAATGAACATCTATGTTTACACTTATCTATAGCCGTCGCCCGCTGACGAGTTGGCGGCCAGGTACACCTCCCACTTATGAGTTCTTCTCCTTGATGGATGGATGGAATTTATTTCGCCCGGAGGCACTGGGCCTATAGGGCCTTAGCACGCTAACTACATCCGGATCAAATTGTTTTGCCTTTAACCCGTACAAGCCCCCTACTTCTTCCCTCTTTCTCGCTGCACCATATACCTCTTGCCTTGGTTGTTGTTAGCAGATCAGCTTGGAGGCTACTTTCTCCAAGTGTTCAGCGTCCTATCTTCAGCAGCTAAAGCGGGACCTGCTGGTTAAGGCTCGTGGTTGAGGCTCGTGGTGTTGAGTGTCGGCTTCTTCTACTGTGACTGGTCTAGACTCTCCTCCTCATTCAGCTCCAGCCTTCCTGTTGCCATTGCGTATTTGATCGTCGCCCGGACTGCCTTCATATCTGGTGACCAATGCCTTGTATCCGATGGCGCCTTCCCTCCCAGATCTCCTCCTTGAACTGTAGCGTTTTCCTATTTGAACTGTAATGGTTCGTGCGCCAGCCAAAACGGGAAGGCGGTGAGCTGCATGATTCTCCGCCCTGCTTTGGGACACAAATCATGGAACTTCGCTCCAACAGCCACCATTTTCATCCAGCAGAACGCACGAATACCAAGAAGTTCTTGATTCAAGAAAATACGCAAAACTCTCAATTCTGCTGCGAGAAAAGGAGAATAAAGACCGTTGCTTCCAGGCCGAGGTTAGTCCGACCCTCGGACTGCCACGTGAATGCAGTTCTCTACGCTGTCTTGCGTGACTTCCTGTTGCTGCACCTCCTGCCGTGAAATTGGGGCCGTTGCCGGGACGGCCTCCACTGCCGAGCTTTTGGATTTGTTATTCCGGCCTCGCTTCGACGCCGGAGGTCCTACCTGGTTAGGTCCTCCGATTCCCATTCGGAGGCCCAAATGAAGGACTGTTGAGAACCGTTTCCACATCTCCAGGCACCAGGGATAAGTCCAGAATAGACCTATCACCTTATCAACGTCCTCCAGAGAATACCGAACGACATGATCGATATTATGCTCCTCGAGAATCTTGATCAGGGCTTGAGTTGGGTTGTGTCCGTCGAGTTTGTCCCGTTGCAGCCGTTCCCGGTAATTGGTTACATCCTTGGTCGTGAAGACAGTGTGAGGGTAGCGCTTTTAAAGGAATAAGACGATATCTCTAGGACGTTGGGCGGGATTCAGAGACAGGGCTTCCACGTCCTTCTTCATCGCGTCTGACAGTCCCCGATGGACGGCGTGAGTGGTCAGCTCTGCCGGATTCTCTCCGCTGGTGTCGTGGTTATGGTACTGGTTGGCGATCTCGAAAGTCCACTGCCTGTCGTTCTCCTTCAAGGCTTTAGCAACGCCTCGCCAGTGGCACCCTGTCTTGGAAGTCGTGGTCTTGCGGGCGGTTGCGATAGAAGGTCTGGCTTGTCCCCGGTCGCAGTAGAGATCAAAACGCGTGGCTTGTCCGTTGATGTAGTTCGAAGCTCGCCTCTTCACAAATCCCAGACCATAGGACTTCCCCTAGAAGTTCAGATCAAGCAAGAGCTCGTTGCAGGAGGCGTAAGCCGGGCCAGTGAGGAGACGGTGGCCTGGCGGGATGCTTGGTGGTGCGGGTCCACCATAAGGAGACCCTGTCAAGACAGCCTCTGGTTGGAGTGAAGCCGGTAACTCTTCCATGTCCTGCAGACTACGCAATGACATATATTTGATAAGAAAACCTGAAATCGAAGAATCAGCACTTGAATAATCCATTCTAAATGCTTAATGAGGGTATTCTCACTGCGCCGTTGTGGCCTTAGCATGCTAACTACATCCGGATCAAATCGTTTTGTCTTTGACTCGTTCAAGCCCCCTACCCCTTGTGGCAGGCATCAAGCGGCAGAATTAATTAGCCGACGTTTTGCAGTGTGGCGCACGAACCATTACAGTTCAAATAGGAAAACGCTACAGTTCAAGGAGGAGATCTGGGAGGGAAGGCGCCATCGGATACAAGAGCATTGGTCACCAGATATGAAGGCAGTTCCGGGCGACGATCAAATACAGCAATGGCCAACAGGAAAGGCTGGAGCTGAATGAGGAGGAGAGTCTAGACCAGTCACAGTAGAAGAAGCCGACACTCAACACCACGAGCCTCAACCACGAGCCTTAACCAGCAGGTCCCGCTTTAGCTGCTGGAAGATAGGACGCTGAGCACTTGGAGAAAGTAGCCTCCAAGCTGATCTGGCTAACAACAACCAAGTGCGCAAGAGGTAAATGGTTGCAGCGAGAAAAAGGGAAGAAGTAGGGGGCTTGTACGAGTTAAAGGCAAACCGATTTGATCCGGATGTAGTTAGCGTGCTAAGGCCCTCTAGGCCCAGTGCCTCCGGGCGAAATAAATTCCATCCATCCATCCGTCGAACTATACTGTGACCGCGCCCGATTCCGGCCTTCTCGAGGGCAAGGCATACGAAGTACGACAACCCACAAGCCCGGAGGCACTGGGCCTATAGGGCCTTAGCACGCTAACTACATCCGGATCAAATCGGTTTGCCTTTAACTCGTACAAGCCCCCTACTTCTTCCCTTTTTCTCGCTGCACCATTTACCTCTTGCCTTGGTTGTTGTTAGCAGATCAGCTTGGAGGCTACTTGTCTCCAAGTGCTCAGCGTCCTATCTTTCAGTAGCTAAAGCGGGACCTGCTGGTTAAGGCTCGTGGTTGAGGGCTCGTGGTGTTGAGTGTCGGCTTCTTCTACTGTGACTGGAGCAGACTCTCACTCCTAATTCAGCTCCAGCTCTTCCTGTTGCCCAT